ACGATTTTAAGTATATCTTATATTATTATAATGTATGGGCACTTTTTTTGACAGGGGTGATTTCCCAAATACAATCACCTTCATTGTTTTCTTATAACACTGCAATTATTCGAATTATAATTTTTATAAATTGTATGCAAACTTTATGTGTATATAGGATATAGGTATAATTTAAAAACTTTTATCAGTATAATTTTAAGATCTTCGTGCACTGTAGCGGTAGTTATATTTAATTATATCAAATACATATTTAATCCTTAGTACCTACACGAAGTTGAATGATTCAAAAACTGGTCTTCGAATTATAATTCAGATAAAAGCCATCCGATTAACATAACATATTACATGAAAAAAATCGTGAGATTTTTATTTAAAAAAATGATTTTGTATAGGCCACAGGATTCTACTTTTTCAAAGATATACGTAAAATCTAAGAATTGAATTATTACCTATATTATTATGGATCTTAAGTCGAAGTCTGTATACTTAGGATAAATTCGTTGCTAAAGTGATGAAGAAATGGTGATGGAAGAAGGATCGAGTATTAATTATTATATATTTAATCAATGACTCGCGATTATCGGGAAAAAAAAATTACAGAATCATGAATTTACCCCTGTCTCGCAGTGACGACGACGAATTAATTTGTTTTGACTACACCATCATCCGGACGCGACCCTCGGTGCGCTCATCCATTAGTGATGGGTTTATCGGACGGCCGATTTGTTATATTATATTATATGTATGATACATACATATATATAAACATAAATATGGACTATGCATATGGACGGAGTGAGAGTTGTACACTAATAATATATGCGACCGAATAAGTGCACATAATATCCCGCAGCAGGCGGCCATGACGAGTACGGACGTGCACGTCCGAAATGCGATATATCGAGTTCCACGCGCGTGTAATTAAATTCGATGCTTTTACGGATTTTCAAAATTAAAATTAATTGGCATAATCAAAAAGTTTCCGCGAGCGTGTGCGTACGCCGCAAAATGTCATCGGTCCGTTTGCACATATTATAACCAACGATATTTTATAACCGGACGGCCGAAATATATTATGTAATAATTTATAAATGTATATTACGTTATTATTATAATATCATGAGACCGGTGGTACGTATCGTGTATCAAAGTTATTAATATTATTAACATTAATATAATACCATTTTATACTCAACGTGACCGATCGCTGATATTTCAAATGACGATCCGTCAATAATATTTATAATAAATTGTAACATAATATATTATACCATTTTTTAATTTTAATTTTAATTTTATGTATTATAATTAATTGAAGGCCGAATTTAATCGGTATCGAAATTCTGTGACCAGCAGATAATCTGTACCATCATAGTTTTAAAAGATGATGATTTATTATTCTTATGATTCCAAAAATCGGTGTGCGTATTAATCGTAAATCGTTCATAGAAAAATATATTACAATAATATTGTATCCTATAGCATTTATATTGAGTATAACTTCAATCACTTGTTCGGCAGATATATTAAACTAATAAATTGTGGACCTATATCGATTATCGGGCCTATGAGTAATTACAGAATTATTAGTTAACAGTACACGTGATCACCGTTAATTTTTAATAACGTCTTAAAACAATACATTTCTAAATTAGTATAGACGTAAATTGAATAATCGATTTGAATTAAAAAAAAAAAAATATTTTTTATCTTGTATTAATTTTTTTGATAAACTATACTTTTTTTCTATACATTTTGAAATTTTTGTAGTGCAATTCATTTTTCAGGTTTTAGTTTTTGCATTTTAATCCAATTATACAATATGAATATGCAATTTTCGAATTTTTTATTGCAATTACATTTGGGACTTTTGCCTTTATAATAATATGCTTCCATGGACCATGAATTAAAAAACAGATATTAATATTCATAACGAGTTCCATATACCAGACACTGCAAAATTATATAACATAATATATAATATGTATGTATACAAATGACAAAATAAAAATCTCCTGACCGCCGCTGCAGAGTATTATTAATTTGTAGTATGACGCGTGAAATATTATTGTTCGGTGACTCGTTAAAAAGGCACTCATTAGAACTCAACGGGAATTTTTCCAACATTTTTATTAACATTGGCCTTTTCACGCCCATTACTCGTCCAAAAGGGGTATTTAATGGGTACAACGGGCGTATTAAAAACATAAAATGTATGGTATACACTGCAGGGCGATTATTAATTTGACTTAAGACATTACTCATTATTTCAAAAAATGTTACAATGTTTAAAAATATATATTCCATGGTTTCAAGACAGGGTTTTTCAAAAAAAGAAAAAATGTTTTAAACAGCGAATGATTCATTATAGAAGGATCACCTGGTATATAACATATAATTATTACCATTATATTATAATACTAGTTGTACATCTTGATTTGGTCTTGGATAAAAATGAACAAATATAAAATAATGATGTCATAATAAGTTTTAGTTCACATTGTAAATTGGACTGCGGTGCACTGGGTATAGCATACTTTATTTTGATTATTTATGAACGTGATTACTCTCTAGACTTTTCTGTTACTGTGTGAAAAATCTCTGAACTTTTCATTGAGTCAATAAGCTAAAAACATACGGATATTTCCCTTTGTTGAACTTTTGAATGACAAAAAATATATTAAATTGTGTTTTATTTAGAAAAAATATCATATTTTGATTGATTGGGTTAGCTAGTTGAAAAACATTTTTGTTTTTGAAAATTGTATTTCTATGACCAATAGGAACCCTGCATTGTATATAAACAATGCGTGCCAAAACGAAACTTATCTTTTAGTTACCCATACGAGTGATTATAGTTGAAAAATCAGGTGCAAAACATTTTTTAAGTTTCACGTAGGTATTCTCTATTTCAAGGTTTTATTTGATTTGTCATAATCAATAATTAATATATTCAAAACCATTATTTGTTGTGATATTTCATAGAATAGGTATATTGATATAACTTATAAATAGAGTGTATGCTTTACAAGACTCACTCTAAGCTTTGTTCTGTTCATAAAATCTATATTATTCTTTTTTAAACAATTGAAATTATTTCCAAAAAACACGTGAACACCTTAGCCTACACATTACCGGGGATATTTAATTTTTTAGTATGGTAATTGTTTGTTATTTTATAATAAAAATAATATTATTCTATAGGTACAATAATATTGTGTCAACTCCTATAGTAATTATGGACGTGGATGATATCAATTATCAGTTGAAGTATAAAACTAGTATTTAACACAACCTATGCGATGAGTAAAGTTTACTAGGTACTTATATATTAAAAAAATCTGAAATATCACTTATACCGACACATTCTAAAACAGCAATTTTATTTGTTTATTTTATTCCAATAATTTATTATGATAAATATGACTATTATAATTACCCCCACTGGTTTTCGAAACAAGTAGAATACACGTGTTGAATATTTTTTTAAATATGCACGGGAGGTGATGGTCTGAGTGGCGAGGCTCGTACTACCACTGCCCCTTTCCATCAGTAACTAATTGCTTATAGGCACACCCATATACATATATATCACTGCTTCTATTCCTACATTGTATATATTACATATATATATTTATTTGTTATGTCCCTATAATATACATCACGCGTGATGCGATATCGGTCGTATCGTCATCGAATTAACGCGCGTCGTCCGATTTAAAATCGTACGTTTCGGACTCGGATTACTAATCCGATCCCGAGCGCGCAGTAAAACGCCACCGTCAGCTCGGTTTTATTATTAATTAGTCGAAACAGCCTGCGGGACTATATATATCCTATTTCGTCCCGTCCACCACGTACCTATATATATATATATATATTTATATACATAGATATAATATTGCATATAACCAGCTCTCGACGTTGAAATATGATAGGCCGGACCTATATATATATATATATAATATTGTAACGAATGATGATGCACACGCCAGGATAACGTCATTATCCTGCGTCGGACACACACGCACTACGTTCGTCGGCTATATGTATAGGTACGTATTTAAGTGTACTATACACACATGTATACTGGTGGTTAGATATATGTATAAAACATTGTATGTACATGCGTGTGCGAGTATAACGAGTCCGTCAAATATATAATAACTATACAATAATAAACACACACACACGAAAGACACTGCACGAATATTAAACGCGCATAATACTGTGTACGATATGTATATATTATATTGGGCACGCCGCACGTATATAATACGATGTATACGACCATATTATATTGTTATGGTCGAGCACATTAATATATTATAACCTTCGACAGCGGTCTGTATAATATTTACGCGCGCAAAGGCCGCCGCCGCCGCATTAAACGGAGTATAACACTATATAGGTACCTAATATTATAATATAATATAATATAATATAACATATATTATGCACGTCGCGTATGTTTATCGCTTGACGATGCTATAACCGTTTCGGTCGTTAATATACACACATGACTAATAAAATATTGTAAGAGAAACGGACACCTATATAACGTGATGTTATTATTATGTGTATGTATTAAGTACAATGTGTTGAGTCTGATATATATATATATATATATACAAGTATATCGGTTTTAACGACCGACGACGTATAGCGAAGTATTTTTTATAATGTACATTGTAATGACATTGTTAATATTGTAATGTCGTCGTGGTGATGTTTTCGAAATTTAAAATTGCCCAACCAACGGAGTTATCGAGCAAGATTCGATTGAACGCATACAATATAACGAACTCGACGAACGCTAGTCGATTGGCCGTATGCAATTGAAAGAGTGGTAAATTTGGTATTTTGGTAAGTGTTTCGACAAATAATAGAAAAACAAAAATAACACAAAGTATAGATTTAGTATTTATTATTTATTTATAATGATCAACAGTTGATCATAGCAATTGTTATGATATAATGCCTACATGTTTAAAACAAAACAAAAAATAGTTATAAATTATGGACAAAAAAAATATTACAATTGCTATAGTCGTGACAACAATACAAATGACAAAAAGTAAAACTAAAAAAATATCGTACTCTTCCAGAATAAAATTCAACACTCCGATAATGTCAGTTGGTGGAGTAAGGTCGACTCTAACGTTGCGTTTTATAACTATATTTGCATTTGATAAGTACGTACCTACTGTCAAAAATCGATGAATTTTATTCCAAGTTCTTCAGGTTTTTCGGTGGTTGATTTCGAATTGAACATATTTATAAGATCGGTTACCTTACCGGAACTTTTCCATTGAATGTGTAACGATGATTTGCCGTCAACTAACTTTGCTGCTATGGCTTTCTATATAACAAAAAAAAAAACATATGTATTTACGCATAGATAAGAGACACCTAATTTATTGTATTAGGTGTCTTTTTTTTAAGCCGCGACAACAAAGGTCATTGGCTGTCGCGGCTTCATTTACAATTAAAAAAGAGACACCCAATTCAAAAAAGTGATAAAATGAATKGAACATAAATTGAATAAAAATTAATTAGTTAATTGAATACTGTACATTCAAAAACAATACAGATAATGTTTGGAGAGAAAACTATATCGACAAAAAAAATCTCTTATTAATATAACGGGACGATTATGTCGTTCGAATCATTTCATTTTAGATAAACATGTAAATAAATGTACTTTTGTAGGCGTTTAGTTTGTCGAGACTAACGATGCCAGAAATATACATTCGATACAAAACAGCATTTTCCGGTTATTAGTCGTCAGTGATAAAGCTGACCAAATCCAAAGCTTCGCAGATCGAGATATTTGTAGGGATTTTCACTGGCACGTCTTCCTTAACTTTATCCTCCTCAATCAATGTAGATTCGATTTCGGAACTATCGGTTATTGGCTGAGAATATAAATGAAACAAAACGTCAGTCATCAACTTGAGAGCGAATAAGATAAGTACWACTAATGGAAGTAATACAATACTATTATGCACTGCAATTCAATGTAATTCACCTAACATGCTCAAGTCTTAGATTTTTAAACAATGCATATAATTAAAATTCTGATTTTTAAAATGTTTAAATATACTTGAAGACCGTTTTAATTTTCGTGTCATTCAAAGAATATTCTGTGACGATACATACTTTTATTTATTTATTTTTTTTTGAAGATAACCATAATATTTTAAATTTTTAAATATATTTTTTTTAAATGTAGTGAAACTAAAATTCAAATGAGCAGATTTATCAATATATATAGAAGATATACAAATTTTAGTAGGAGATTTTAAAATTTAAATAAAATCAGAATTTGAATAAATTCATTATTAAGAAAAGTGAGTGAGTATAGTAAGTAAATTTGTACAATACACATAATGTTTCAATTTTGAAGACGAATATTATTGTTCAACTGGTACAATAGTTATTATTTTATATSATATTCATTAAATGTATACATTTATTTATTTTTTTAATGATCATTTACAACTTCGGCAACAAAGGCCATTAGTTATTTTATTTTTTACATTACGTTTGCTTACATGTTTAGATTTGGTTATACATTTATTGTAATAGGCGTTGATGAAAAACTTGAAATCCGTGAGATGTTAATCCGTATTTTAAGTATACAATAATATTAATTATCATGAATGTTTAATTTCTTGTTGCCTTTTTGTCTAAACTTAATTTAAGCGGTGTCAAAATCAATTAAAATAAATAAGAATATATTATGACGAATTCCTTCAAACCTTGACTTGGTGTAGCTAAATAGCCTATTCAAGACGCCGTGTTATCAAAATATTTTTTAAAAAAACTGATTACATAAAATATTATAAAATCATACGTCTTATAGACTACGATGAGATGTCCAAGAAACATAATTAATGTATAGTAACTGATAAAAAAGGGAATATATCCATAAAATGTGTGTATACTTCACCTAGTTTTCTTGGTTTTGGATATAATAGTGTCTTATTTACCATTTCTGGTGTATAATAATTATGCTTATTGTGAAAACAGGATGTAAATTTTCCATTGCTTATAATTTATTTTAATTTGAAACCATGTGCATCCACGCTCAGCAAATATATGGCTTTATTTTAAAAACACTGAATAATTGGTAATCCAAAGCAATTGCATTTTTTTATAAAAGATATAATGACAAATCAAGAGATCAAAAATTATTAATTTTTAAGTCAAAACACATTATAAAATAATATAGTCATGCATTTTACAGAGCATAACTTACATCAATAACATCGATGAACCTTTATATTGTATTGAACAATCGTAAATACTAAATTTACGATCTTGAATTTTCATAATAATAATATTCATTTTATATTTTACGACGTATTATAAAATCCAATCATACTTAGATTGGTTAATTAATAATTTATTTAGCTCATCGTAATATTAAAATATATTTATTCACAAACATGGTCTCTTTAAAGAAGTATTCATCATTAGTTAATACCTATTGTMTCTCCCATTTAACACCTCTGAAGTTTTTTACCAAATATGTTGAAGAACTTTCTGTTTGAATGCTGTCATTGTAAAATAACTGCAGACTAATAAAATATGACGAGTTTCACTTCATTTATGAGACGATTTACTCGAAAAATTACATTAAAATATTTTATGATTTCGATCTAAGGGCTAAAGTATGATGGGTAAACACCAAGTAGAGCCACCCAAATGGTAGATAATTGATTGACACTATAGAAGATAAGTTTTTCAATCATCATTTAATTTATCATTATATTGTGTGAAATATAAAACAATACTATTATATACGTCACTAATAGCACAGTTGTGGTAGGAGTCGTTTTGAGAAACGTTCGGTTGGACACATTTTAAAGTTCTCACTTAACTTATTTCTATCACCACAATTTCATATTATATTAAATCGAATAATAATAACTATAAACCGTATAGTATCATATTATAATAGTATAAGTCTTCAATGAAATATTAATAAAACGAAATAATGTATTATAAATTATTATGTAGGAAATTCAACTCACTATGATATTATTGTATGTTTACACATTTCGTAATTATCATAACCACGCCTCTGTGCATATAGGACCATCAATATAGTCAGGCACCTTGGTATTATATTTTATTGTACGTATTTAATTATGTTCTTCACTCACTTTTTCAAAAGTGTTGAACTCGTCGACTAAACGTCTAACAATCCCAGAATCGGGCCGAATCGTTTCGGTCGACGTTTTCGAGCCGTTTGACTTCCAGTTGTCGATGACGAGTTCCAACTTAAGTGGCTTTTTAACCACCAGATCCTTGTCATTCTTGATCGTGATCGTTTTGTCGAACGTCACGTATCGTTTGGGAGTGTTCGCCAGACAACAACTGGCGCCTTGAAGCGATTTGACCGCCGCTGCTGTGGATTCTTGGGATGTCCTATCATTCAGGACGAAAATTCGCCGTTTTAATATGCCTTTACTCTGTGGACACAGATACATTTCGGTTTAATAGTAACATTTTTCCGTGTACTGCGTGACGTGTAGTTTTTTGGCCAGTCGGTAAATTGTTACTTTGTTAGCAATGTTAACAATGTGATGGGATAATGTTTACGAATTTGAAATATTTACCTAATATACTATTATTACGATGTATTCCAGTCGTGCTCATTGAGGAACGAACTATAAATTATGTTATACTTGTATAGTGTATACTTAATTCACTATCGGTCATTCTTTTTAAATTTAACATTTCAAAGAACATTTATAAAAGATTCGATTGTACAAGGTTGTGTACGTTACATATGTATATCTTACGTGTTTTTAAGTATAATAGGTATTGTAAATTGTTGTTGTTACAACTTTAGCAAACGCATGAATAAGAAACTTAATTAAAATTCATCAACGTAGCAATTAATTTATTAAAATCGTACGATTTAGGTAATTGAATATATAATGAACAATACAATATTGTTTATTACATACTTATATAACGTCATATAGGCATGTGTTTGCAGTTTTAAGAGCATACTTTAATATTTGTCTGACATATTATTTCTACTTATTTGTTCGAGTGTTCAATGTCAAATATACATCTTAACACTATTAATGATAAATGTATTATACCAAACGCTATTTTATTCGTATGTTACTTTTGTTTAGTATCGTTATGATATTATTATTATACTCACTGCAACGGCATTGTTATTATCTCGGTCGGTGTCCACCATCGTATCAATGAAAACTTTGCTACAGAATTCCACACCAAACACCTCATCACCGAGTACGCTGTTGAAACATACTGCTAATCACGTGACCATCGAATTGTACAGAAGTCTGAAAAAAAAAATGTTAAAAATAGAAATTATTTTAAGATCTATGAAGAATTGTATATTATGAAAATAATTTATGACATTTTCGTTAGTAACATTTTAGAAAGGGGACAGAATAAAAAATATATGATTTAACCTAAAAGTATTTAATGTAATTTCAATACAAAAATTTAAATATGCTAGCGATGCTATATAAGTACCTATTTATTATTAATATTTCTATTAGTGTTTATATAATATGATGACAAATAACTATAAATACATTTTAAATGTACAGTGAAGAAAAAAAAATCGAACTCGGATATTATAATCATATTTATTTATTTATTTATTTATTTATTAATTTTTTTATTATAACAAATGCCTCGGCAGCTATGGGCCATTGGCTATATCATATTTATTATTTGTTAAATAAAGAGTAAATAAATTCCATTAAATTTCATTTCATATTTAATTAATACAAATATGTTGGATGTCAATATAATATCATGTTACCAATACGACATCCCAAATGAAAACCGTCCTTGTGAAAGTTCACCCTTTCACGATGGACGTTCATTTAATATTACAATGAGTTTATATTATTTTTCCAGGAGTGAGTAGGTCCTGACCCCCTCACAATGGACGACACTCGTGAAAAAAGCCGTTTCGTCTATTCACATCACTTTTAATTGTTGGAATAGTCGTACGATAATAACATAAATATACAATAATGTTATACCTGACATATTTGTACAACTGTTGGGTTTAATATTTTGAAACGTTTGCAGAGCTGCAATCGTAGATCTCTTAGTGGCGTGAATCGCACATTATTATGATTTATTGTAGTCTCGTCAGCGATATACAATAAGGAACCCAAAATAAACATTTTGACTTAAATATATATTTATGATAATATAAATTTGACTGTCTCGCGAGCTGACGGAGAAAACCAATATTATTCTAAAGTCTTCGACAATGATTGTGTAACATTATATCATAACAGTGTTTCGTGTCTCCTCTGCGCTGTCGGAAGTGTAATAATAATACGTATAAATATTATATTATGCGCCGCGCGTATACGTTCGCTGTTTTCGCTGACAATAACGCTTTTAAGATTCTTTCTTTTTGGTTCAGTCATGTCGGTGATTAATGACTTCTATTGCGCCGATATAATAAAGTAATGAACACGCCGTGGCGTTAAATGCGCTAATCAACTGAACGTGCTTTAGCGGTAATTAAGTATTTCATTCTTACTTCGTAATAATAGTACCGAATATTCTAATATATTATAATTATATAGGTACATTATATGGTTATAYACCTATACTGTTGTTATAGAAGTTTCTATAACGTKTATTTATTTTTACCCGGTTGTTATTCAATTGTTCTAAGACATTCTATGATTTATTTATTTTTTATTTTAATTAGCAGTCCCGATTGTTTTGAGAAATGCCAWAAATATAGCAAAATCGACAATTTTTAGATTCTAAGCGGAGCAATGAACGTATTGGTGCTACAAAATATGATGCGCGATGTTGAAAAATTTCTTATTTTTATGAGTTTATGACTGAAGTTATTATTCCTAGACGAAAAAATGCTCCAATCGTCAACATTGAAGAATAATTCTGGTAGCTAATTGGATATCTACTTTGTACTTAGTACTTTGATGGTCAAAARGTATAAATTCTCAGTGTTTTTCAAAATAATCCGGTAAACTAAAAAAACTTACGAATATTCTTCATATTATAATCATCTTTATTGCTTATTAAAATAAATGTTTGGGACCTAAGTCACCAAAAATTGAGAAAGACTGCGAATCTTTTTCATTCTATATAATATTATTTTTCATTTAACTCAAATTTAATAGTCTTATTAAATTGACCTACTCAATAATGAGGTGCACTTGAAGTCTGTAGTTGTATAGCAGATCAATTTCCATATTATGCCTACTTGATTGTATTTTTTTTTTACTCTTATTTTAAACTATATTTTTCGAGTAATTCGGTGTCTTWTACCTTYCTTCCTCACTCCTCGGCGTTCGTTATTGCCACGTAGCTTACCATCGAATCGAAACGAAAACATTAAAACCTGTAATGCGTATTATATGGTACATATTCGACAGCCCTGTATAGTAAACGGATACGGTAATGATGTTATTTTTAATGATATTATGCAAATAGTTAAAGCCAGTACATGATCCGTTTCCGTTTAAATCTTTACTTATGTCTTCGTGGCGCTTCAAACGGTTTTTTGAAACAATATCGCAAATACCTCACGGAGGGCGAGCACTAAGTTTATTTATTTTTTACAACCCCTTGTCCCCTTTGGAAAAGTCGTCCTTTTTCGGGCACAAATATACATGCGGGTATACAAATGTAAATAAACGCATACTGCACTGCACTTTATTCAATAATATATTTTATCCGTCACTGGCTCGCCATAGGTATAAATATACGTATCGATAAAACACTGCTCGGCATTTGTAGTCTCGGCAAKATTAAACGACGAAATAGTAATATTATTATTATTATTATCATGTATTATGCGAGTTTGCAGCGATCGAACCGTGAAAACGATATGCGCGCCGGAACATGCATTTGAGTTGTTTACGGCGAACACGCACGCGGCGGCGGCCAATAAAACTTATATGCTGTCCTTATACATTCGTCCGCGGTGAGTAYGGAAGAGCAGTAAATATTTGCGGTGTCAAACGCAGGGAGGTAATCCAATTTCGGTTACCGCACGGCCGTTGTTTACGATTGACTAATTTTTGTGTGTTTTGTATGGAAAACCGATTTTCGGGGGAAAATAAATACAAAAAAATTCGAAACGAGAGTCGCGTGCGATTTATTTCGCGTATTCCCTTCGGAGTGGCACACGGCGCGGTTTCTATTTTTAAATTTCGTTTTCACTGTTTACCAACAATAAACATAGTCGGCGTAGGATATTATAACCCGAGTGTAAACATATACGACCAGTGCATTACTGACTACTGTGCTATACCAATTACGTATATTATATTATATTATTATGATCGCTGTCCCAAAAGTTTTCAAGAACTCTTTGATAACTTAGGTATATGCATTATTATTGATGTTGACTTATCTGCTTTTATGATGGTTTCAGATGTTTGAAGTTTGCGTTTTTTATTATTATTTTTTTTTTTGTTTAAAAAAAATCGTTTCCCCCCTGCGCTTGTTTTCAGCTCCACAACCACTATTTGTTGTCATCACGTCTTTATCAGTCGTCGTCGTCGAGTTGATTTCATACAAATAATATAATATTGATGGTACTTTGATGATTTTTGCCATTTTAAGGTAGAAACCCGTTCAGTAAAATGTTAATCTCTCATTTATAGATTCCACCAGAATTATATTACATACTGTAACTTTAGATCATATTATATTCAGCGGATAGAGTGAATCCATTCACTACCCATRGAACTGCAAGTTGGGACCAACAGAAAWATAACTACCTATATAGGACTTATCAATCTGTTTTGCTAAAAAATACATTTCCCCCCTCGCCTTTATAAATGGATTAGAGCACTACAGAATTGGTCGCTTGGTCAAATAAAGTGTAAGAATTGTTTCCAAAAAAAAAAAAATCTTAATCGTCATACAACGTTTACATACTTACGTTTGAATTGATAATTTTATAATATATTATTAGAGTTTAAAATGTTTATGGACGTTTATAAAAAATATAATATACATAAATATGTMCCTAATATAGATTGATATTTTTAGTGAAAATATATTATCTACCAATTCTATTGTTATTAGCATTAACAAAATATGTTTATAGCGCATATAAAACATAAAGGTTGACTAGCCACTCTTTTAACCATAATATTAGACCAATGCATTTTAGACAGGTAATGTTTTAGAATTTAAAAATTCCTATGTTTGTGTAAAGTGGAAAGGAAATTATTATTGATAGTTAAATATAATATAATAATAATGTGAAAAGTTAATTATATAGTTGTATTATCATTATTAAAGCTCATCGGAACCAACTCGTATGTAACCTGTAAACAATTCGGTAATTGAGAACCAACTCGTAGACGTCCACTTGTTGATATTGATAAATGAAAATATTTTTAATTTACCATAAAGTGATAAGAAGTCATTCGCTCATGCGAATATCGGTAGGGTCCTATAATAGTAAATGTGTACTTTACAGATTTTCAGAATGACTCTATCCATTTTATACGATCCAAGATTGTAACTGTTTACATTCAAAAAACGGTGTGCGTGTATATGTGAGTTTTTTTCGTCATCACAATATAATACATTTTTATATTTCCTAAAATTAATCGTCGTAACGCACTCGGTGTAATGGTTAGCAATAAAAATTCGATTTTTATAATATTCTTTATATGTCGAGTTTCACGCGGGAATCGAATACATCGTGAACGTGGACGATGTTTTACGGCTTACTCACGATATTCGTCGTAAAACCATATATACGCGCAATATAGTTTATAAAAATAATATAATAGCATTCTGTGTAAGAGTTTGGCAATAATAACATGCGTGTAATGACCTCAAGTATTCGGCGATCGATACAATACATTATAATATAAATCATACAGGGTGATTCTCCAAGCATTTTCATCTAAATATTTTTTTGAAATAACGCACTTCTTCAGAATAAAAATGTTTGAATTTTTAAATTAAGTATACTTAAACATCATATTTTCTTATACTTGAAATATTTTGTACCGTTATTAAGAAGAGTTTAGGCGATGATACAAATTTCAGATTTAAAAACGATAAATACTTTTTTATTTTAAATTATTCAGTAGGTAATTTATTTATTTAATGTTGTTGTAATATGTACCAGGTACCTATCTATTACAAATTTGAACGAGCTCCAAATATCTGACATATTGTTAAAAAATTATATTATACTACGATAGATCAATATTATTAGCAACTACGATTTTCAAATCATCACAATCTTCATATTTTCCAATATCCTATTATCGTCAGTTGTATA